ATGAAAGTAAAACTTCAAGAGGTGACTCGTTTAAAACGACAAAGCTGAAGTGAGCAGTCCAACAGTTATGCCTCATCTCAAAGCCCTCCAGTGGGTCGAATTGGATCCTTTGTTCAGCCAGGTCTGGCTCCCTGGCCTTATGTTTAACATCTCTGCCCTATTACACGTTTCAGCATTAGTATATTATTCAAGGGAACTGCTGAAGGGTTTAAAGCAGCAATACATTTTAATATAACTATTTCCAACGTTTTATTATTTATGTGACACATTTAAACGTTCTCCTTTTTCCTCTTAAAACGAGACAAACTTAACCCCTCTGACACCCAGATGTCTATTTATAAAGCTGGATCACCCCCCCCCACCCATCACTCTTACCGGTCCGGCATTACGTCATTGGACACAGTTTGTGTGCACACTGGGAAATTTGAGGCGAATCATGCGTCTGCAGGAAACACCGGTCAGACTGCCTTTTGTCTGCATATGATCCGCTTTTGGTTTATAGCCTCTAAACACATAAAAGCAGCAGAGGGGCAAAAACACACAGCAGCCTGATAGGCGGGACTTCCTCCTGGCATAACTCAGCTAGTCGGGCTGTTTATCTCGTCGTGCAGCGCGGGGATCGAGCCAGTGCAGGATCTGATAACAAGGTAAGCCCGTTGACAGCAGCGGGGTTTGGCGTGTTTCTCAGTTTGTGCATGTAGTCCGCCTCGTTGTCGCTCCATCCGCTGCACTCGTGTAAATTGCACTCGTTGCTGTGCGTGGTTATTGTTGCAATCAGAACTGCGCGTTTTTTTTTAGCCGTTAGCAATGCAGCACAAAGGCTAAAACACGGAATCTGTTATAATGTAGCGGACTGTCGGAAGGTTCACTTTAATTCGTCCTGATGTGAGTGTTTCTCTGATGTGTCGCCGTTGTGATATCCTCAGCTCGCCACATTTCCAATGACATCTTTGCTGCCATGAACTGAAATATCTAAATGTCGTTTTTATTATTATTTTATCATTTACGTTATTATTTAAATCAATTTTCTCAATTAATTTCTGCATCGTTTTCATAACCAGCTTAGTGTAATGTATACATATATATTTTTATAATAAGTTGAATAAAGAAACCAGTAGTATTATTATTATTAATTAGTGACGCAAGTTCCGAGGAGGCATTTTCAGCTGTTTGTTTGATTCGGCCAAAAGTTCAAAACCCTGTTATTATGTGGAACAGCCCTCACATGTGCAAATGTGCGTTTCTTTTGCGTGATTGATTTCCTAACTTTATATATTAAAATATTAGTA